TCGATGGTTTCGGTTAGATTCAATACTCTTCAAAAATGTATTTTTATTAAATTGTAATTAGATAATAGCAGTATATTAAAAATTTGTATACTGTTGTACTTCATTGTGTCACTTTCTTTACAAAAACGTATTTTCTTAAATTCACGTCGTCTCTTATTACAAAGATTGGAACCAGGAAACTGTTTAATGAAATTAACTTAATTAATTATCTTTTATCGTCGTTAATCGCTTTGCATCGTTATTTCATACATTTGATTAACTCGGGTGCTTATTGCATGGAAATTAATGTATAACCGTTTTTTGGAATAAAATTGTGTGATCATATTTCTTCTAGAATTTATTCGTTTTCTGTAACATAAACTAAAAAATATAATAAAATTAGAGAGCGGCTTTTTTTTTTTTAGATTAATGTTACCCAATTGGCGTCGTTTTTTTAATCATACATTTTAAATTCAATTGAACTTATTGGCTTTTCTATTTGCTTATTGCGAGAAAATTAATGCCTACTTTTTTTGTAACAGAATTGTATGACTGTATTTCTTTTAGCATTTATTCATTTTTTTCTATGCTAATAATTTATTTTATATTTAATAATTTATTTCATATTCAGTCTGAAAACCTTTTTATACACATATATGAGTTGACTAATCCTGATCAAAATTAAGTCCTCCAATTTTAATAAAATTTTTGTATGTACGCGGATAGAAAAAGAAACTAGTATATCTTTATGATCGCTGAGTCGCTTGTTTAGTAGTAGTAGCAGTAGTATTAGTAGTAGTAGTAGTAGCAGTACTAGAACCATTAAAATCCTTTAATTAAATACTTTTGTAACTTTAATTTCGGTTTAGGCGGTATTCACTCGTTATTGCAAAGAAAGAAACGTATTCTTTTTAAGGAAAGGTTTTACCCTTCAAAGATCAGTACTTACAATAAATGCACGCCTTTTACGTTTGTTTATGTCTTGTATCTACATCAAAATCGGAGAGAAATGCTTGATTTCTTTTTTTGTAAGATAGTTATTCTATTATCCTTAGTTTTATTACAGTTGCAGTGTCCAAAATTCGCGCAAATATTCCTGTAAAAGCTAAAAAATTCTAAGACGTAAAATCTAAATACGGAAATATATAGTATTTGTTTTTCATAACTTTAAAAATATAACTTTTTTGCATATAATAACCAATCTAGACCTAATTTTAAATTTGAAACCATTAGAATAAAAAAAATTAGTTTAAAACGTTTAATGAAACTATTAAAAAAAAAATAGTTAAAAAAAGATTTTTTAATTTTTTTAATTTGATATAAGGGTACCTTAATAAATAATTCATACTCGACAATTAAGGGGATGCTGGAGTGACGGCCGAACTTGTTTTTGACGTTTTCGTTCCTGTCAAACCTCTTTGCAGTAGTTTCACAGAATAAAAATTCCTTCTCCACGATTAAAATATCCGAGCTAATATACCTGTCCCCGATTTATATTCTGTCCAAAGCTGGAAAAAGTATGAAATCATAGATTTCTTTATCCATTTAACCTCAATATGGTGACCAACGCTGAAGATAAGAATGGATAAAGAAATCTGTAATTTCATACTTTTTCCAGCTTTGACCACAATATACACCAAGGACAGGTATATTAGCTCGGATATTTTAATCGTGGAGAAGGAATTTTTATTCTGCAAAACTATTATGAGGAAATTATACAGGAACGAAAACGTCAAATTTGTTTTATCGATAATACAGGCGGGTCCAGCATCACCTTAATGTTTTTCAAAATTTTTTAAAATATATACATTATTATATTATATATATCTGATTTTGCAAGATGTTGATAAAATTGAATAATTTCAACGAAAAATGCTTTCACATTTAATGTACTTTATATACTGCACGTCAGGTTTGAAGAAATTAACTATATGATATACTATACATAAAAATGGTTAAAAAACGTATTTTTTGAATGTTTTGTGTGCATTTCTATATTTCTATACTTTTTCGTCTATCTATATCTTTTCGAATGTTTTAGAACAAAATTAGAGATTTCTAGAATCGTGAATCGGTATTTTTCAGGTCCTATATTTTGTTTCATAAAAAAGTATGTTCTATACTGTATACATAACTACTATATATAGTTATATACATGTAATATTTGTTATCGAAGTTATCTATGCTAGTTTAGCTTTTATCTATACGTTTATTGAATAATTAAACTGTTTCTATAAAATGTAGATAAAATTATTTGATACAAGGGTTGCTTTCAGGACCATTTATATATAATCGATCTATCGGTAGTTTTTGGGACGGTCCTGAAACCTGCCCCTTCGTGGGCAGAATTTTCAGGACCGTCCCGAAAACTGCCAAAAGTCCTGAAAACTGCCATTGCATATGTAAAAGTGTCCCGAAAACTGCCTGTTGCGGGTTGAAAGAAATGCGTTCACACACGTATCTTTTCCTCGCTTTATTTTCTCATCTCTCTACTGAAAATCGTGCCTGCTCGTGTACAGGCGTCGTGACGAACTACTACCAACTGCCTCGAATACTGTTCGCGTTACGTGATCGCAGCGCCCTATCCACATCCACGGTTGGCGCCATAACATTTTGCGCGCTCACAACCTAACTAAAATTCTCGCGACATTTTGGCGCGAACATTCCGCCGGCCGTTGAAGGTTGATTCCTTCAACAAATAAAAACAAAATGCAATGGAAGCGAGATTACAAGTGTAGTAAAACTTAAATATATAGTTACGTTTCTATCGGAAGAACACAAATTTTATTGATAGCGCGTTTAGTTACGCCGTTGGAGGTTTTTATGCTAACCACTCGCACGTGGCCATCGCTTCCAGGATGAGTTTCTATAATTCGACCTGTACGCCACCTTAATGGTGGTAAATCTTTATCCTTTAAGAGAGCCAGTGATCCGATCTTGATTTCATTGTAATGAGGTTTTTGCCATTTATAACGGTTCTGGAGTTGCGTGAGATATTCGCAAGACCAATGACTCCAAAAATTCTGACGGATTTGAGCTAATAATTGGAACCTTGTTAATCGATTCGTAGGAACCTCAAGAAGGTCGAGCTCTGGAAAGGAGTTTAATGGTTCACCAATGATTAAATGTCCGGGAGTGAGTACATCATAATCGTTCGGGTCATTGGAGATCGGACAAAGTGGGCGTGAATTTAACACGGCTTCGATTTGTGCGAATATAGTGCTGAGCTCTTCAAAGGTTAGTAAGCTGCTACCAATGATTCGTTTTAAGTGAGTTTTGGCAGATTTTACAACTGCTTCCCAGAGCCCGCCCATGTGTGGAGAGTGTGCAGGTATGAAATGCCACTGCACTGACTGATCTGCTAAAAAACGTTCAATATTTTCACGTTCCCCCTTGATCATACGGGAAAGCGCTTGAAGTTCATTGTTTGCACCTATAAAATTCGTGCCATTGTCTGAGAATAAATTTGCACATCGACCTCGCCTGGCCATGAATCGTTTCAACGCATTGAGAAAGGCTGTCGTGGTTAGATCGCTAACCAATTCTAAATGTACGGCTTTAGTTGAAAGGCATACAAAGATACATAAGTAAGACTTTCCTGTCTTATTTCGCGACAATTTTATGGGAAACGGTCCCGCGTAATCTAACCCTGAATTAATAAACGCTCGATGTGGAGTCACGCGCTCTTTCGGGAGATCTCCCATCAATTGTGTTTTCTCGCTTGGACGGACGCGGAAACACGCAATACATTTTCGTAAGACGCGTCGAATTGTTTGACAGCCTGATAACGGCCAATAATTACAACGCAAGTGCGCTAGAAGACCTTGAGGCCCCATATGCATCTGTTTGAGATGCGCATCTCGAACGATTAACTCGGTAAGATGCCGCTTAGCAGGTAAAATAATTGGATGTCGCTTTGAATGGTCTGTGTCCGCGTGACGAAGCCTGCCTCCTACGCGTAATAGTCCCGATTCGTCTAAAAACGGATTCAAGGTAAGAAGCTTGCTCTTTCTCGATATTTCCCGTTTTGTTTGAAGATCCTTGATTTCAGTTGCAAATTCGTGTGATTGAGCGACTCGTATAAGTGACTGCATGGCTCTATCCAACTCTTCCACTGATAAAGGACCGGTTTGCCGTTCTTCTTTATTGCAGGCATTGGTTTTGAATCGCCAACAGTATGCTGTAATCCTCTTCAATCGATAAAGAGACGAGTATCTCACAAACAAATCGATGTCTATAGGCATGCTATGATAAGCTACTGCCTGTTTTTTGAGTTCAATTAATTCTGAAGAATCGACTACGGGCTCGATCGGCCATGCGTGTCGGTCTTCAGATAGCCAGGGTGGTCCTGTCCACTACAAAGAAGAATGTTTTAGATTTTGCGGAGTTGTTCCTCTAGAAATGATGTCAGCCGGGTTATCCTTGGACCTGACATGCGACCATTGAACATCTGGTGCTGTGCTCTGAATGGTAGCCACTCTGTTTGCTACAAATGTTTGTAATTCTCTAGGATGATGCTTGATCCATGCTAGTGTTATGGTTGAATCACTCCAATATTGAATATGATCAAATTTAATTGATAGAGCTTGTCGTACAATCTCTCCGAGCTTGACGAGTAATAGAGCTCCGCATAACTCGAGCCGAGGTAGTGTGATACTTTTGAGAGGTGCGACCCTTGACTTTGCGCAGAGTAATCTTGTGATAACGTTACCTGCTTGATCTGTACTTCGTATGAAAATACACGCACCATAGGCTGCCTCTGAAGCATCACAAAAACCATGTAGTTCTATTGTTCGTGGATCTTCACATATGATGTGCCTTGGAATTGAAATTGACTCCATCACGCTCATTTCTTCTTGATATCGCATCCAGGTAGTGTGTAGATTCATTGGGAGGGACTTGTCCCATCCGATTTTCAGCTGCCAAAGTTGTTGAAGTATGATTTTGGCCTGAATGGTCACAGGACCCATTAAACCTAGCGGGTCGTATGTTTTGGCGGTGGTTGACAATACTATACGCTTTGTTGCGCGCTGATTTTACTCAATCGCGCATGTTCGATATCGTAAACAATCGTCTGTGGTGTTCCAGTAAATGCCCAGAGTTTTGATTTCGTCACTTCTTGGTAACTCTTGGACTTCCGAGGATCTGTCAAAGATTGCCGGCTCGTTTGTGTTCCACTTGTGAAAGGAAAATCCTGAAGACTGCAAAATTTCGATTAATTCAGCTTTAAGCCGTTGTAGCGTGCTTATATCGTTACCACCAGACAATAGATCGTCAACATAGAAGTCATTGCGTATGATCTTGCTTGCTTCCGGATATTTGTCCTGATTTTCGAGTGCGAGCTGATATAGACATCGGATTGCCAAGAATGGTGAACTGGCCATACCATATGTGATGGTATTGAGACGATAATCACGAATTGGTTCGCTTGTATCAGGCCTCCACACGATTCTTTGTAAGTCTCGTTGATCATCTTGCACAAGTATTTGTCTGTACATTTGTTTAATGTCTGCTGTAATAACAAATCGATGTTGACGGAATCTCAATATTATGGAAAGTAGATCCTGCTGAATGGTAGGCCCGGTGCGCAGTATGTTATTGAGTGACACTCCTGAAGATGTGGGACAGGATGCGTCGAATACCACTCTGAGCTTTGTAGTGACACTATCGGGTTTCACAACTGCATGATGTGGTAGGTAGAGGCTTGTCCGAGAGTCCTCTTGATTTGAAACTTCGGTCATGTGATTTAACTCCTCATATTCTTGCATGAATATTTTATATTGTTGCTTTATCTCTGGAGATTTCGTAAATTTCCGTTCCATGTGTCGTAGTCGCTTGATAGCGATATCACGAGAATCTCCGAGTCGATCTACGCTGTCGCATAGTGGTAATCAAACTTCGAAACGACCAGCTGCGTTGCGTCTATGTGTTTGATCAAATTCCGATTCGCAAAGCTTATCGTTCTCTGATGCCTCTAATTGAACGTTGCATTCTTCTATTTGCCAGAAGCGTTCGAGTTGTGTTTCAATGGTGGTGATAGCGGAAATGGAACTTACGGACGCAATTGAACTCTCATTGTATCCTTTGAAATTTATAGGTCCGGCAATGATCCAACAGAGCTTTGTTTTCTGTGCGATCGGCTGATTCTTCCCTAATTTGATCTGACCGACACACAATAGTTCCCAGAATATAGAGCCTCCTAGTAGTACATCTATCCTTCCAGGGATGTGAAATGACGGATCGGCTAAAGTGATCGTCTCAGGTATTTGTAGATGATTCTTGTTGATCTCTAATAATGGAAGATTGACCGTAATTTCGGATAATATCGAGAAATGAAGCTCCACCTTGAAAGCGTTAAATTTGGATTGTATCGTGGCGTGAGTTTCTGTAAGTGCTGTTGTCTGTACGTTGTCAATACCACGAATATGCATGTGATTCCTTCTCTGTGGAAGGCCTAAACGCTCGCAAAGATCTTTCGTCATGAAGTTTGACTGTGATCCAGGATCGAGGAACGCACGAGCTTCTTGAAAGTCTCCTCGTTTGTCCTGAATCTTGATGATAGCCGTTGCTAATAATCCGCGTTCGTTGAGTCGAACGGCATGAAGTCGAAGCCACACTGGTGGCTTGTGATTCCGTGGATGCCTGGGATTTGACGGTGGAGTTTTGACTCCCACTTCCGTGCTCTGTACCTTCGTCCTTCGGAATATGCAGTAGCGTGTTGTGTTTCTTATGACATACTCGGCATGTGCTGGCGTTGCACGATTCAACACTGTGGTCGCCCTTAAAACAATTAAAACACAATTTCAAGCGTTTTACCTCCTTACTCCTCGCCGGAGGAGCTAAGTTAAGAAAACTCGGACAATGATATAGCCGATGGTTTCCTTGATTGCATGCTAAACATTTGTCTGACTTGGCCTCGGCTGTTACCGCGGCGATTGCCTTTTTATTCGCATTACTTGACTTATGACTCGTGTCGCTACTTGACAATTTCGCGCCTTTTGATTTATCGAGTTTTAATGTCTCTAGCATAACGCATCGATTAGTCGTAAATTCAATGAATTGCATATATGTAGCAACTTCCCTTGCCGACGTTTTGGTTTCCCACTCACGTTTTGTCGTATTGTCAAACTTAGCGGTTGTTAAATAAACAAGGATGGTGCCCCATTGATCTGTGGGCTCACCAAGCTTTTTTAGAGCGCGAACGTGCTTTTCGGTATGATCTAATAATTGACGCAATCCTGTAGATGATTCCTTTTGCATTACTGGGAACTCTACAAGTGCTTGCAAGTGATGGTGGACCAAAACGCGCTTATTCTCGAAACGGCTTTCGAGAATATTCCACGCGACATCATAGTTGTCGGCGGACAATTCCATGGATTCTAATATTTCTGCCGCTACACCTTTAAGTGCTAACTTTAAATAGTACAATTTTTTGATGTCTGTTAAGTTACTATTTTCATCGATAACTGTCCTAAAGGTATCTCGAAAATTCGGCCACCGATCGTATAATCCGTCAAATGTAGGCAAGTTGATTGGCGGAAGTTTTATTTTATTTACTGCGTTAGTCGCGTTGCCGAGGCCATGATTGTCAGCGTTGCGTATTTCTCGCGCGTTCATTCGCGTTCTCGCATGCTGTGCGATAAGCCGCTGCCGAAGTTGCATAATATTCTGACTCGAATGCCTCGCGCTCGCCATCGTTTTCGAATTCTGCGTCTAATTCCTCGAGAGCGTCTTGCGTTTCACAAAATTCGTTCCATGCACGTTGTATTGCTGCTAACCTAACCTCTACCTCCTCTATTGAATGGCTTTGTTCATCGAAAACTCTAATCCAATTACGCGCACGCGTCATTTGCGCCTTGATTCTACCGCGTATTTTCACGAGCTTTCCTGTTTCCGGCATTGTACTCGTATCGACGGAATCGAGATTCGCGACTGAATCGTTAGGTTATGCTACTTAGCTTGGAAATCGACTCTTGGAATCCTCGACGAAACTCGTTGACTCGATGGATTTATTTGCTTCTCAACCTCCTTCCGGAAGTCACACCTGTGTAATGGGCGATCTCGGTGCTTTGTCCACAGCCGAAGATTGCTGCCTATTTGTATGCCGGGTGATCTCGGTGCTTTGTCCACAGCTGACGATTGCTACCCGTCTCTCTCCGGAATTGCTGTGCTGCGAAGGATCCGGCTCGAAGGACCAATGTTGCGGGTTGAAAGAAAGACGTTCACACACGTATCTTTTCCTCGCTTTATTTTCTCATCTCTCTACTGAAAATCGTGCCTGCTCGTGTACAGGCGTCGTGACGAACTAATACCAACTGCCTCGAATACTGTTCGCGTCACGTGATCGCAGCGCCCTATCCACATCCACGGTTGGCGCCATAATATTTTGCGCGCTCACAACCTAACTAAAATTCTCGCGACATTTTGGCGCGAACACTGCCCTTCCGTATACATATATATATATATAAATGTGTGTATAAATTTAATATTAAAAATTATTATAATATATAATTATATATATATATAATATATATATAATATATATATATATTATATATATATTATATATATATATATAATATATATCTAAAATGTTCCCTAATAAGAATCTCGATATGATTGACATACGCGAATTGTTCGAGAAAATATTTCGGTAACCTGACGTTTGATTCCAAGAAATTACGGTTGAAGGACACAACAGCGAGACGGCGAGAAGAATTCTCTCTCTCTCAGATTTTCTCTCGCTGTCTCGCTCGCTCTCAGCGCGCCGAAGGGGAACAAGGAGAGTACTAGTGCGACAAGGACAGAGCGATAATCGTCACGCTTCTGCTATCAAGTCACACGTACACGAGCTTGTGCTTGTGTGAGTGCTGTTTGTTGTGCCATGCCACCGACCGATAGCGCTAGTACCGATGGCACGAATCGTCCCTGAATTGGCATCCTACACGGAATGTCCATATTTTCCGTGAGCGCGACGTTTTATGTAACAACATTAGTCGCGTTCGCATTATTCCGGTTCGCCTCGCGCTTTCCCGTCGCTTCGACGTTTCGCAGTGTCTGAAAGCGTCGCGTGGTGGGGAACTCCGCGCGTTGAGCGAGTTCGGCGGGGATTGGCGGTCCTCGGTTGCTGTCGCGTACCTGTGAATTATACTTTATATTTTGTCGGGCGCTATGCGCCCTCATCGCTGCACCGAGTGGCGATGCAACGGCGTCCGGCCGGTTGTACGGGCCGTGGACGATGCGTGGGGGGTGCATCGTCACAATTGTTTCAGCATAAATAAATATTATACATAAATAAATGAGATGGAATTGTACAATAGTATTACTCGATGAAATTGTCAGTGCTCTTGGTGAAAATTTTTCATATAATTTTTCAAAATTTTTAATAAAGAATTTAAAATCTAGATTTGTTTATACGAATGTTTATACGAATTCACATATAATAAAAAATTCTAAAAAAAAGTGTATTCTTTCTCAATACTTCTGAAAGCGTTTCATGTACCCACGTAGCACACTAGCGCTTAAAAAGCGCTAAAAAAGCGCGTCGCATTACTTTAGCAGCTTTTTAGCGCTTTAAAAGCGCTTTTAAAATCTACTATAAAAAGCGCATTATAAGCGCATACAATCAGCGCAGAATAAATACAGTTTTATAGCACATTTACTGCACTTTTCATGTGCAGTAAAGGAAGAGCGAGCGCTTTTAAAGCGTTTTTTACGCGCATGTTCATTTCTTAATCAAGATTTGAAATTAGCCGCATGCAATAAAAGTGCATAATTAACAGCACTTTTGGGAGGTGCAATCTGAACAGCGTTTCGAAAGCGCTTTACACGCGCTGGTGTGCTACGTGGGTAAAAATTCTGACAAATTTTCACCAAGAGTTTCGTGATATTTTTGTTTGATTGTAAAAAGTTGACTTAACCAGATTAGCTATTTATATTTACACTATCAATTTGTTTATGCGTTAATGTGCAATATTACAACCTTACCATGCGTTAAATTTACATTTTCCTCGCACACTTCAATCCACTTTGCAGCAATTTCAGGGTTTCTAGGAAACCTGAAATATTTTATTTCCTCTCCTTTCATTCGTACCGTTTTTCGATAATAATTATTGCAGACTTTTACTGCACAAACAGTCATAATTTTTAATAAAAACTCTTGCTTACTTTACCGAATAATACTTTACCGCTTTACCGAATATCATAAATACGGCAACCCATATTTCATTGGCACTCAGAGTCTGAAAGCTTCCGAAAGCATCCGAAAATAGCCGAATGTGACGTAAACTGAGTGATGCGCAAAGGCTTTCTAAATTCGTCCACCGGATGAGCATACCCTTGTCTTTATACCATGGTGTCGTCAAGCTGGAAAATTAGGCTCCGCCCCGAAGAGTAATTTTCTGCGGGAGTGGGGAGCTTTGACTATAGTATATGCACGGCTATGAACGTATACCGGAATAAACGTGTTTCTCGGCTTGGGTGATGCTGCATCATAATGCAGCATGCATTCATAAATATGAATTGATAAAATTAATCATAGACTACTACTTGCGAAAAAAATGTCATATTTTTGAAAATGCAGTACTCTTCGACACCAAGGATTGTCAGTCAGGCATACATTAAATAAAATAATTTTATTTAAAGGTCAATAATATCATTTAATATATATTATTATTTAATATATATCATTTTTTTATTTACATGTATTCTATCAACCTTGTTTATATGTATAATATATTTTTATTAATTACATATATTCATTTGATACATAATTATTGTTTATTTACTTTCTTACCATCCTACTCTTGCCTGCCTTCAAGTA